ATAAAATCCAAGTGAAAATCGATTTCAAATAACAAAAAGCGTTTCCTCGCCCTTTGATTATCGAATAAACACGTTGGGTCGGCTTTCGTGTAATACGCAGTATTTCCAACTAATTGAAAAGCGACCCTTTGCAAATAAAATGTGTGCTTTTAGCGTATTGATTACAGGAGTCAAACAAATTAGTTGGGTTGCGAGTTTTCCGAGCAACTAATCCTTTCGATTTCCTCTCACAGCTTTTGATGACTTTGTTTGACGTGATTAAAAAAAAAAAAACAGTTCATCAATGGCATTTACTCGGCTGGAAAATTTGTTTCCATAAAAACAGCGCTCAATTTACGGATGAATTTTTAATAATAATTGAAATTTAGAATCAATAGTTTGTAGGATTTTGAATTCATTAACGGAGCTTAACCTGGAGCTTTTATAATAATTAAAAACTTATTATAGCTAAATTAATGTGAAAGTGAAGAAAAGCTTTATTGTGCTGAAAAATTAGATCAATTAAATTTTAACAAATGCTGAAAAGCATCATCACTGGAAAAAATAAATTTTATTTTTAACAGCCCCATGATTTTCCTATATTTCTTGCACGGTTTAAAAAAATTAAAACTAAAAACTTGGAACTCTGTGCCAACATTTCAAAATTAAGTATTAATAAAAGGCTATTAATAATCTTGTTTTGAGTAGATATGAAATTTTCAAGCTAAAAAAAAGTTTCGAAATTGTGCTTCAATGAGTTCACGATAAAACCATAATAATTATTAATTATAATATAATCTTTAGTTCACTTTAAAAACTCTTTACGTACGATAAAAAAAGAGTTTATTCTAAATATATTTTCCGTTTCCTAGATATTTTTTGCAACGACATAAAAATATAATGCGGATTGAGATTAACGAATTATAGAAAAGATTTCCTTGTGAAAAAATCTTATTTTAATCAAGAATTGATGCTAAATTTTAATTTTGATCAGTTATAGATAATTCAAAATTGAAACAAATGATTATAATAAAAGGATTTTTTATATTTATTTAATGAAATAAAAGCATTTCTGAAATATCTTTTAAATTTAATATTAAATTTAACAGCCTTTAGAAAATATAAATATTTTCTAAAGGCTTCTCAGTATCTTTCTCTCACATGAAAAAAGTTAGAAACGTGGGCATCAATCCTGGTAAATAACATATAAAACCTTACAAACCTCATTTGTCTGCAATCTTTACTCGCTGGACTAGAATTAATAAAAATAATATGTCTTTATTCCACTGACAAGAAACGTAATTTACTTTCATCACTTTTAACATTATTGTTTGAAATTTAATCCACACCACTGGAAATTTCCTTTCCTCACTTCATGACGAAAAAAGAAACTGTCTGTCGTTTCTTTCAACATGCAACGGCGCCGTCAATCAGCGTCGAGTTTGTTTTGCATGACGGGGCAATATTTGCACGCATTAGACTATTAGCAGCGCACAGGGTTGACGAGCGCAAGATTGATCGAAATTTAATTTACAGCGGGGGCGAATCACACACAATTTTCCGAGCAGAGATAATTTACGCTCGATCGACGTCGTCTCTCACTGTTTGTCTTGGCTGCGAAATTTGCTAAAAGCAGCGATTCCGCGCGTACACATCATTTGAACAAGCCGCGATCGAAGCGACAAGAGAATGATTGCTTTTTGCCCGTGTTTGCCGTTCGACTCTCAATGTCATCCGCGTCAGCAGCTAGCACGGAAGCAAGCAAAAGACTTTGTCTTTCCGTCTCGTCGACGGGACGGACGAATTTTGCAAGGGAGAGTTTGCAGAATTCCCAGGCCGTGATGCAGAGTATCAAAGCAAGAGCCCTCGAGGAAACACCGCTAAGCAGATTCGGTCCGCGACGAGACACTGATCTCATCACGGCACTACAAGACGGTCAAAATATAATGCTACTTACAAAGAGCCCTTTTGAATAACACCCGAGTTCGAAAAGTCCGCTTCGAGAATAAAGAATTTTTTTTTTATTCATTTATTTTTAACGTTTACGATTTGAAATATGTAATGTTTAAAATTTCAATGACTTCATTATCTGAAAAATTTCAATATCTCCAGGATAATGCGTTTTAATCTTAAAAAAAAAAGAAAAATAAACTTTATTTAATTCTCTAACGGGATTAAATTGAATATTTTAATTAAGCATATTAAATTACATCTATTTTCTGATTCGCAAAAACTTTTATTAATAGTTGTAACCTATAATTCTATAATAATATTAACTGAACCATGAATACCAATTTCTAATTTTCAGTCCTTCAATTCTTAAATCTAAAAAATTATCATAATTTTCGCGGTTCAAGAATTGACTAGTTCAATTAAATCAACATTAAACTTAATTTCCTCTTCTGAAATCTATAAATGAAGCATAAAAACCAATTCTGAATCATCACATATTTCAAGATTTTAATTATTTATAATGCATTTGGCAAGTGTACAATTTATTCAAAATATTTACAATCGATTTTATAATTATGTCATAAAAAGGTTCATATTATGTAATTTGTATACAAAAATTTAACGTTTGTAAACATTAAAATATGTGTATGAAAACAAATAACACTTATTGCAAAAAAATAAAAAATAATAAACGATTTATAAACTTATATAATTTAATAATATAATATTAAAAACAATGTTTAAAAGAAATAGAATAAAAATTTACAAACTACACATTTTAATTTTCTTCTTTAGGACCAAAGAATTATAATTCTAAGTAATACATCAGTACTTTCTAACATGGCCACGTTTTGTTCAAGTCAATCCTATCTAGGTTTTGCAAAATTCAATCGACAACGTTCATTATTCACTCAATCAGACTTTTACGATCGAAAATATATGCAATTTTTGCAGCTTATAACAACTGAGGGATGAATGAGTTTAATTAGCGGACAAAAGAGCACGCATATTGAACACAATCTCTGGCAGTTTTTAAAACAACCCCAGAGGTCAGCTGGTGGCGCAATCCAATTACCCGAAGCAATCAATCAGCGCCATTCAGCAAGTTTTGTCCGGTCGAGCGGTCGGTTAGCAACTCTTTTTCCTACTTTGCCATTCGCGTCCGGCCGCTCCCGGTGGAAATAATGCAGTTAACTTTGGCCCCGTCTATATACTTTCAAATGAGTTTTTCTCCTTCCGCAGGCGAGGGATCGAATAATATCGCCGGCTAATCGCGGGCAAACACACAAACAGCGACAAACTTTTTTCCTTTGGTTTATATACATGTGTGTGTTCACCTTGACGAAGAGGAAGCAGGAAAGTGGGCGGCGCGGTATATAAAACACGAGACGGGCCCTTGTCTTAAAAATGCTCCGTCAGGCGAAAACCTGCTAGTTGCCGCAAACTTGGGGCCAAAGAAAAAGTGGAGATTCTGCCTTGAAGGAGTTTTATGCAGGAAGAACAAAAAATCGGAATCCGCCCGACGACTCTCTCGCGATCGCTCGCACGGAAATAACAACGAAATTTCGCAATAATGCCTCGGCGTGTTTTATTGACTGAAGACGAATGGAGTGCGAGCGCGGAAATTTGCATCTCCCGAATCACTGGGGTGGAAAATCTCTGGAAATTGCATTTTTTATTTTAGGATGAGGAAAAAGCAAAATTTATATTTCTTGTGATTTCATTGCGATTTTATATATATAAAAACAGCTGATAATTATTTTTAATTCTGTATCATTTTTATGAGTGGCAAAAACAATCTATGCAAAGTCACTCGTTTTAAAACAGAACCCTTCTTTTTAAGTTTTTTCCAACATGAAAATTTCCTATCATTGCGCTTTGTTGTTGTGAAAGTTCAAGTTGTATGTCGAGAATATAACATATATTTTTAGGATTCTCAACGTATTTTTATAAACTAAAAAAAAGCTTCAACTTAGTGGTTTAAGCTTGATCTATGGATTGTATTTCAATTAAAAATTATTTTAACTAAATTAACTAAAAATAATGTAACTGGCTTGAAAAGTTTACATTTCAATAAAAAATTCTTGCATTGCAAAGCTCCTTCTTGACACTAAAGCATTGAAAGTAGAATTATTGACCAGTTGTACTGGTCAAATATGCAAAAAAAAAACTCTCTTTAATGACTGGTGTAGAACAATATTTTTGAGAAATAAGTATGCATTACAATTTTTAAATATTAAAAAACCAAAATCAAATTTAAAATAATTTAATTTGTAGTGTTAATTGATAAAATATAATGATACAATTTTAATATTTGATGGTTTTTTTGTTACTTTTAATAATTTATTTTTATATTAATGTATAGTGAAAAAAATATATTAAAAAATAAGAAAATTATAATAATTTTTAATTTTACATTTATGTAAAAATTTGTTAAATATGATGTGGATCAGAAAATAATTAATTGAAATTGGAATTGCATCCATTTCTAAAGGATTTTGATGGTTTTATAATTATAAATAAATCTACAATTAAGGTAAAAGATGATAAAAAGGTGATAAAACCCTTATTTTACTGTAAATTGTAAATTGCGATTATAATAAGAATCAGTTTCCTTCTCAAACACGTTTTAATTTTAAATTTTAAGACAGTGAAATCCAATCAAACATTTTTCCGAGAAATCAATATTGGACGTCATTGTTTTAGATCCTTGCAAAAAATAAATCCAAACATTCGCCCTTTTTGTACAAACACCATTTCCTACGACGCTCCAAATAGCCAAAGTTGTTTATTATTTGCTTTTGCCCCAGGAGGTCGATTTTGTGAACGTTTGCCCTATTCTTGCCTCCGAAAGCCAAATGTTTAAGCTCGGCTCTCAGCCTTTCGTGCTTCCTCTCAAGGTGACTCGCTTACTCTCGAGTCAGAAATAAGACGGATCGTGACATTTCGGCGGTCGTGAATCGAATATTATAAAAGCTTCCGTCTCAAGGACGGAGAGATCGGCACGACTCTCTCTTTCCAACTTGTTGCGGAAGGTGTAAAAAAAAGTAAAAAAAAATCGCACTGACCTTGACGGTGGGGTTGGGGCGCTTGGCGAGGTGCGGCGGGGTCGAGTGCTGGATGGGGGCTGGTTGGAGGACGGCGGCCGCGGTGCTCGAGGTGGACCCATATGAGGGCGCGTGGTGGTGCAGGATCTTCTGAGCGCTAGCCGAGCATGACGCCTGGAATGCCGACACGCTGAGCTTCATGCCACCCTCGGTACGATCATCTAGCCTGAGGACACGCCAAAAGCACACGCAATTTCAGCACATTTTTCATCTCCAGTCACCCGAATGACAAACCCTTATTGGAAGAAGAAAAAGAATATAACGAAACATAATAGTAGAGCTTTTCATGACTGGAATACATTATTATGAATTGGAATAGTTAAAAGTTATCTATTTAAATTGTTTTGTTTTTTTTTCAAAAATTTGGATCATTTTTCAAATTTTTTTAAAACAGATTTATGGAATCTTTTTTTTTAATATTTCTCTGCTATAAAATTTTTGACAAATTCCATTTAAAAAGAAGAGCTGTTTAATTCCACATAATATAGTTTTTGTCGGTGCAATTTTTTCAAATTATACCGAAAATTTATAAGATTACCTCAGTCAATATTATAGAAAGCTATGCAAATCAGTTTATTATGTAAATGAGGTGTATTTGATTTTGAATGTATATATTAATACATAAGCGAATTTCTGGAATTGACAGGAATTCATTACAAAAAGAGTCGAAATTTTGAAGAGAATTTGTATAAGCCAACCCAATTTACTAAATTAACAGATTTAATTAAAAATGCAGTTCTCTATATACTTCTCTTGCCCTACAACACAAGTCCGAACCTAATTCAATTTTAATTCAATGTGAGAAAAAAATCATAGTCATCCTTAATTAAATTAAGGAGGCTCTAGAGACCAAAATTTTTACATAAGAGTAATGTTATTAGGATATGATTAATTTTTATGCCCATGAACACCCAAATTTTATCTTGTTGTTTTGATCAGGAGTATTTCAAATGTAAATTGTAAAATTTTGAGCAAAAAATTTCAAGTTGATTTTTTTTTAAATTGGGAAAACTTTAAAAAAATTCCCATAAGACGCAATGTTAAATTTCAAAAAATCAAATCTTGAGATTAATCCCATGGACCCTGTATTTTATTTCATGGAATCATCTTCTAGTGTGGCCGTGCATCCATAAAAAAATCGCGGTTGAAAAATTTCGGGCCCAATTTTATCAATAAGGAGTCGTTAAGCAGTCCAAACTACACATTCCGCACTCGTATCATATCTGCTTAATCGGCGATTGAATAAATTCGGCGTTGGGCATTCTCTGCACTTTTGCCATGTTGGCCCGCTCAATTTTGATGCATAGAAACGCGCAGTCCTAGGCAGCCTTGGCAGGCAGAAGCGCGAGAGGGGTCACATGTGCTTACCTTGGGGGCGATAAGTCCCTGGTCCGTTTGGGGTCTTCGGCAGGTCGGCGAAATCCTCCGCCAGCTCAAATTCGGCGAGAAACGGGCCGCCGAGGCACCGAGAAGCGACCTTTGTCATCCAAACACTGCACACTTTCTTTCCCCTCCTTCTATTATTTTTCCGCCTGCCTCACGCGACGCTTACGTCTCTGATCCTCGTCCTGACTTGTTGGATCTCGTCTTGGAGCACCAAACAGCAGCAGCCGCAGCAGGGAGGAGGGGAAAATGTGTATTTGTGCAGCGGCAGTGAAAACGAAAGTGCATCGACGGCCCGTATCTCGCCGAATTTGAGCCGACGGAGGATTTCGCCGACCTGCCGAGGACCCCAAACGGACCAGGGACTATCGCCGTGACCTCAAGGTAGGGAAAACCGCGAATCTGATTTTATTAAACTCTCGCCGTGTCCCATATCGGCCCCTCTCGCGCTTCTGCCTGCCGAGGCTGCCCAGGAATGCGTTTCTCTGCTTCAAAATTGAGCGGGCAAAAGTGCAGAGAAATTCCAACGCCGAACTTTTAAATTGCCGAATGAGCAGATAGGAGCGCCGAATGTGCGTTGATCGGACTGCTTAATCAAATGCTTGAAAACCATAAAAACAATTTTGATTTCACGGGCCCAGTCAATTTATAATTTAAAACGCGAAATTTAATTATTTTCTTCCAATTAGGGCATCAATAAAAACACCCTAGGCTAAGTTTATCATGATATAGGCTGTTCAATAAAATATCAAGAAACAAAATTCCAGCTTTTTTATAATGAAATTATCTTCAGCATGAAAATTAACATAATGATATTAAAATATTAACCGCTCTTGTCTACTTTGATGAACTAAAATATTGATTTTAAACCTACTATAAACTCAACTTTGTTAGTTTGTGACTTCAAAGGAAAGCTCTGAATATCTAAAAGGAACAGTTTTCCCCCAATTAGAGTCAAAACCGACTTTCCGGCGTACTGCGCAAAATGAACTCCATCGAAAAGAAGTTTTTACAGCCGCTCAAAGAGAGCTTAATGAAATTCAATTCGTCTGTCAGCTCTTCTCTGAGGAAACTTCCTCAACAAACACACGCACCGGCGTATACGGTGCTTTCTGAAACGAAAACTCCACAAACACGTTGACTTATTCATATTTCATCAAAAGAGCACTTGAATCTGAATCGGAAGAACGATTTTTGTCAAACGACAATATTATATTCCGTTCGCCACGATAAATTGCGCAAGAAGTGGCGAAGAGAAGTACAAAGTTGGCCGATAAATTTGCGCCGGCACTTTGTCATCGTAATTAATAAAACAGCGCGGCGCTGAATGGAGACCGTGGGGGCCAAAGGAAACCTCAGTGGTGCGGCTGCCGACCGGCCCAAGTAAAGAGCCCACGCGCCACCACTGAAAATTTCATCGCTCGAGAGCCCGCACTGAATTTCATGCAGAATACCAACTACTTAATCAAATTTTGCAAGCTCTGCTCAAAGGCTTCAGATGGGATAATTTCATGTTTCCTTGATGTTTTGGCGAAATACCTAAAGTTTCATATTTTCAAAAATTTAACTCGTAATTAAAAGAGGAAAAAACTGAAAGATCACACACAATCAGTTTATTATTATAAAAATGGGGATCTTAATAACGCTTGAAGAAATTTTCACTCGAGGAGTTGATCATTGAAGTGAATACTCGGGGCTTTTTCCTCATTTAAAATAATTTTTTTAATTCAAAATCAAAACTGTTCCACTGGTTTCGGCCATGGTCTGTGACCCTATTTCACGAGCAAAATGATACAAAAATCAGCAAATTGAAATTTTTTTAACATTTTTTACAACAAGGAAAAACCCGAGTTCTTCAATTATATCTTTTAATCGTTCTGTCTCTGCAAGTAAATTAATACAATTATTCTTCACTCAAAAAGAACCTTTGTTTGTTGTTTTTCACTGTAAACGAAATCTTCATTTGTTTTCTGTCCGCCTGACGCCTTTTATTGGTGTTGCAGAAGGCACCATACCCTATTTTGTAAGGTCAAACTTTTATAATAAAAAAATATTTTGTATCTCCTTGTGGAAGTTTAGGGTGGTTATTGGGATCACATTTCATCGAAGGGAAGAAAAACGCACTCCACGCCTAAACTTATAAAAGATATTCAATATAAACAATGACTAATTAAAACTGTTTAAAAAGGTGAAAAAGATACAAATTGGTTTTTAAAGTGCCAGAAGGTTGCCTTTGAGGTTAGTTGTCCATTATTATAATTTTTATTTTTTCCCTCCAACAAGGCTCACCCGGTTAAAATTTTTCATGCAAAAAAATCTAATTTCAGAAACATTTATTATATTTTAATTTCAAGTTTACTTTATATGCAGTTTAAAACTCTTTTGACCATTAACAAGGAGTCAGAGATGAGAGCTTAAAACTTAATTTTACTGCTCTTTATCCAGAGCTCGCGTTCCACTTTAATATGGGCACGAATTCCTGTATGGAGCTTCTAATTAATCCACAACGGCCTTTGTAATTTGCCTTTTGCAGCCGTTTAACCGGCTGTTTACATTCAGGGCGGTTTTCCGCGGCAAATGCAGCACTTTGATGGGTTTAGTTAAGTGCGCTGTTCTTTCTCAGTTCTCTCGCTCCGTGTCAACTTTTATCGCTCGCAGGCCGACCACCGCCGCAGGCAGTTGACAGTTTTGTAATTACTGTTCGGCGGTTTGGCTCAAGAGTGGGCGGGAGATTGAGCGGTGGAAAATGACTTTCTTCTTGATCGGCTAGGTGGTTTTCACACCTACACTCCTCGATAATTGGCCAATAAATTTGCAGAGCTTGTTTGGTAGTTACGCGTTGATTGATGATTTTTTTTTTAATTAACAGAAAACTGTTGAATTTTGTCAGTTTTTAAAGGGTGAAGCAAATTTTCCAAAATTGAAATTAATTAATTCTCTGCATAACTCCGAGAATATAGTTATTTTTAGATCAAAATGGGTTCAAGGCTTTTTATTAAATATTTCATTTAAAAAATATGTCTGCTCCTTTATATTTTTTTTTTCTAAAAAATTTATTTCAACTTCCCCGAAAATAAAACTAGAGTAATTGAGTTATTAACTGATAAGTTTTTTTAATTTTAAATAAAAATGAACAAGATTTCAATTCTCTGCATCTTCATGGACAAATAAACAGTAAAATAATTCTAAGAAAATTGTTTTTAGATCAAAATGGAGTCAATGAATTTGCTTTTAGACTTAGAGTAACAAATATAAATTTAAAAAAAAAATGGCTCCTTCATTTTCTTTCTAAAAATGTTATTCATATTCTCCGGCGTTAAGTAAATCACTTTAACTCCTCTAGTTTTTTTTTTAATTTAAAATTAAAACGATCACAATTCCAGTTCATTAACAACAACTTTAAAATGACAGAGTGAATGTGAGTGAGCTGTCCACAAATCGGTGCACGGTGTGTCATGTTCACTGCTCCTCGGTGTGCGGTGCTCTTGCTGATTACCCTTGGTGAGCGTCAGTGCATAATTCATGCGCTGCGGAGCGTTGGCAGAGAGTGAATAGCGCGGGAGCGGTGGAATAAATTGCGGAGAAAAATGAGCCGAAGGGTCTCGGTCGTGACGTCACCTTAAAGCCGACCAAAGACCTCTGGAGCCGCGAGATAAAGTGCGGAAATAATAATATCGGAGAAAAAAAATAATGCTCACACGTGACTTAGCATGCTGTGATTTGGGGAGGAAATTCAGAAAGAGGTCACACAAGGCAACTTGACGGTTTTCGCCGCGCTTGACA